CAAACAACAATTGACAAATAACAAACAAAGACAAACCGTCAGCTAGCGCTTGCTGGTAAGAACTGCAAGGAACGCGCTAGAAACCCGTGACATTAGACCTTATAGCTCCGCTAGAATCAATTTATAGTACTGTCTAAGCTACTAAAGATTATATAATTTATAATAATGCTTTTACTCGACTACACAGCTACTGAATAGTCAATAGAAGCAAGAAGGTTACTAAAAAGGGTATATCTAAGAAGCTACGCAAGGTAACTTTCTACCGGCCTCTTTTCTAATTAGGAAAGCGGTGGAGAAGCGGAGGATTTCCTTAGCAAATGCAGACGAATAAGAGCGTAGTCGCGTAGCGAGCGTACGTGGGACGATGCATATAACGTGATCGCCGCTCCTCATTATCTTTGTATATTATTGAGATTGTGTATTCTAATGGTTCCACGCGTATACAGTTTAGATATAGTACTAGTACTAAACCATTTCCGGTGAAGTGTTAAGCATATTTATTGAGACTCGTCGGTGGAAAGTTGTATGATTTTCTAAACAAGTGGGAATCCACTGAGTTTATATAGGTAAAATAAAAGTACCTTGCTGGACTAGTAGCGATATTTGCCTATAGTTATCTGTGGTTGATGATTAGGCAACAACAGATTTAGTGGTTTTGCGAAGTATAATTTGAATCCATTACGGATCCCAAAAAGTTAAATTTACTTTAATTATCACCCTCTCCGAGCTGCGGCATCCAGGCGTACGCAAAATATTACTAAATTAATCCATATAGGAGAAGAGGCTATATGCGCCGTAGCTGAAGGCATACTTACTTAAAATTTACTTTATCGATTTAATAGCGTAAAACGACTTCGCCGAGCTTATAGTCTTTGTTATAGTTTACTACCTCACGCATTAAACCCTAATTAGAGGCAGTGCAGATGGCAGCAGCTGTGCGGTAGAACCTCCAGCGCAACGTGTACTTTGCCTCTCAGCACCTCCTGATATACGCATACATAATGGCAATGAAGGGCAGCAGCCTCCGGATGGGTAACCCAAGCAAACGTATTAGCACTGAAAGGTAGGGGAGCAAACAATTTATAGACACCAAGGAAAAGAAGCAGTAGAACAGAAAATGTACACGAACAATTTAGCCAGGCCCAGCTGGTCCCGTAATAATTCGTATCTACAACTCAGAAGAACTATAAGAAGAAAAAGTAACTGGCAGCAGCATAATCTACCGAATCACATCTACTCATACGTATGCGCTCATATGTACATACGTTCAAATCACACCGCACGCTTCTAAGCATGCACGCTTGCGTGCGTGTCCCATTCAACCTTCGACCGTTTACAAGAAGTTCTTGTCGACCCAGCTGGTGTAGTCATCGCCCAGAACTGTCTCCATGGACACGGCGGCGGTCAGCTGCTTAGCGAACTTGCGGCCAGAGGTGCTCGCACCCTTGCCAGTGTTCTTAAACTCAGCGAACTCGACGTTGTCGGTGCGGTCGTCATTGGTGTTCCACGTGTGCCAGCCCTCGGAGTTGATGACGTCGCTGAGCGCAGTATTCTGGAACACGACGCGGGCGTACTGCTGCCAGGGGCGGCCGAGGTAGTAGGCGCCCTCCTTGACGGAGGCGCCATCGGCGGTGGCGACGTCGCTGTTGTTGATGACGTAGTACGAGTTATCCAACTCGGAGGTGCGGCCGTTAGCCGTGATGTAGCCGACGCTGGCCTCGGCGACGCGGATGTCGACGTTCTCGAACCACGCGGCGGCGTGCTGGCCGAAGATGAAGTCGGTCGCGCCCTCGATTAGCGAGTTGGCGTAGTACTGCACTCCGTCCTGCGCCATGACCGTGTCCTGGAAGCCTGTGAACTGGCAGCCGTAGTAGGCCTGCTTGCCGCCCGAGTAGGCCGATAGCGCAATCGCCTGCGAGCCCTGCCCGAACGAGTTGTCGACGTTGAGATTATAGACGGCGAGGTTGGCTGTATGCGCGCGGAGCGTGCCCGTGCCGTCGTCGTCGAGGCCCTCCTTTTGGCTGTGGCCCGCTGTGATGGTGACTTTGTTGCCGGCGTAGGTGGTGTCGTCCTTGGAGTAGCCGTAGACCTTAAGTCCGCCCTTGAGCTTAGGGAGCGTGACTTGCTCCTTATACGTGCCCGCGTAGATGAAGATGCTCTGCTCCGTCGCCGTCGACGTGTCTAGCGCGTCAACCGCCTCCTGGATCGTCTTGTACGTGCCGTTGGAGCCGACCGTCAGGGCACCCGAAGGGGGGGAGGTGATGGCGAGAGCCGAGCCGACTAGGGCCAGGATAGAAAGAAGGCTAGGCATTGTTGGTGAGGGGAAAGAGCGAACGGAAGTTTGAAAAGGAAGTGGTAACAGCGGTAGTAGTGAATAGCACCTGACTAGAGTGGGATGGTAGCGGAAAACAGATAGGATCAACACTGTTTATATAGTCTAGTGTCTCCAAACGAGCCCTGCCATAAATATATTAGGTAGAGCAGTCGAAGTCGCGCGTCGGGGAGGGAGCCGAAACGGGAAATTGCCCGGCTAATCAGCGTTTCCATAAAACGCTTAATTTGCTTACCTGGTCACACTTAGTTGGAGCTAAGCTTCCGCCCTATCGGCTAAGACTGGAGCTTGCGTCGCTATGCTGGTAACCCTTCCATGGCCTATCCGCCGCTAGCCAGCTCTTCCAGAATGACATCGTGCCACCTCTCCACCGCGACGAAAGAGCCATGTCTGCCGCTAGCCGTACCTGTTATCACCTTGGTTGCACGGCCTATGCGGTGTCGGGTTCGTGTGTCTTGGTTTAGGGGCTTCACACGGTTTTAATGTCGGGCGGGGCACCCTGGCCAGGCCTGCGACTCGCTAGGTGAGTTGCGATCGCAGCCGGCATCGGTACATCGGGGTATTAATCAAAGCTTGGCCTCGGCGAGGGTGCATCCCCACTAGTGAACGTTCGAGTCGGCTACTGTCCGCTTTGGAAAAGCGCGGTGTAGGCGCTCAGGCCGCAGCCGGGGCCCTCTTGCGAGCCGTACCGATACGGCTTGTCTATGATGAGCGTGTTGTCACCGAGGTGCGCAAAGCATCGCGGACAGCGGCCCAGTTGGCGCGGATTATTAAACAGCTTCGTCTTCTTCTTTGCGTGTATCCAAGATGTTGATTGATACTCAAGCGATCCATGGTCGCGAGATGTGCATCTCGGGCCCCTGACAGCGAAGCTCGCGAAGCTCGCGAAGCTTCTCGGCTACGGCAGGCTAGCCTCACGGATACCGCCGGGTAGGGCGGCTTTGCTCCACCTTGCACTATATGCCTGCGGGCCTGACCATCTCGCCATGCTCCCCTGAAGCCTGCAATATATTATAGAAAAAAGGGCGTGCGGCCATCTTGTCGTGATAATTACGCAAAGCCCACCTCTACAATATGAGTGCTGCTCCACCAAACTCCACGGGTAAAGGGGTATAAAGTAGACAAGATGTAGTGGACCGAGACAATCATCTAAGTGAAGTAGTGAAGCCAAAAAAAAAAAAAAA